CCTGGAGCCTGTTTCCGATTCTGTGTCTCCGTCTCTCTCTGCCCCTCCCCCGTTCATGCTCTGTCTCTCTCTGTCCCAAAAATAAATAAACGTTGAAAAAAAAAATTAAAAAAAAAAAAAGAAGGTTGTACAAAATATTTGGGGGTGGAATAGGTTTCTGGAAAATTAGAAGGACAATATACTCAAACTATAAAATTAACTTATTATTATTTAAATTTTTAAAACTTTCATGTGGCAAGAGGTACTGTCAGTAGAGTCTAAAGACAAACAACAAGCTAGGAGCAAATATTTGCAGTACACAGAGCACAGTGTAAATGTGTCTAATAGACACAGCTCTTGTTGAAAATTGATTATTGGGCCTGGATGGCTTAGCCGGCTGAGCGTCCGACTCTAGGTCTCAGCTGGGGTCATGATCCCAGGATCATGCGATGGATGGAGTCCCACATCGGGCTCCGTGCTGAGCGTGGAGCCTGCTTAAGATTCTCTCTCCCAATCTCACAGCTCGTGAGTTCGAGCCCCACGTCAGGCTCTGTGCTGACGGCTCGGAGCCCAGAGCCTGCTTCGGATTCTGTGTGGGTCTCTCTCTCTGCCCCTAACCCACTCGCATTCCGTCTCCGTCTCTCTCAAAAATAAACATTAAAAAAAATTGTTTTAAAAGATTCTCTTTCCCTCTGCCCCTCTCCCTGCCTCTCTCTCAAAATATTTTCAAAAAAAAATTTTTTAAAGAAAATCATTCAGGATTCTAGACAGTTCCCAGGGAGTTAGTAACTGATCATGTGAGAAATGTTCAGCATCGGAGCACCCGGGCGGCTCAGTCAGTTAAGCATCCAACTTCAGATCGGGTCTTGATCTCACCATTCGGGAGTTCGAGCCCAGATCGGGCTTTCTGCTGTCAGTGCGGAGGCCTCTTCCGATCCTCTGCCTCCCTCTCCTTCTGCCCCTCCCCTGCTCATGCTCTCCATCTCTCAGAAATAAATAAAAACATTAAAGGGAAAAAAAACCTTAAAAAAATGTGCAGACTCATCTTCAGTGAGATACTACTATTCCTTGCCATGTGATTTGCAACAAGTAAAATCATTGAGAACAGTGCTGGTAACAATGCACGGAAATACTCACTCCCATATCCTGTTTAGGGTACCAAAAATGACAACTTTAGAACATAATATGCAAACCCTTTGATCCTGCAGTCCCACTTGTGGGGATTTATCCGGTCAAATGAAAGTATCTGTATGTATGTAACGCTATGCTCAAGACCGCTAGGGCCGATACAGTCACAAGACAAACAAGTAAGCAACCCAAACTGCAAACCTATAGGGTGATTGGTGAATAAAATATGATACAACCACACTATGGGATGCTTTGCAGTTATAGGGCCACAATTTCTTATTTGAAACTCTTGGGGCCAGGTATGTTCTCATATCTCGGAATTTTTCAGCTTAAAAATATATTTATGTTAAATAACATATACCTTAGTAATATGAAAAGAATATATGTCTAATAGATAAAAATACTTAAAAGCAACACATAGTATATATTTTGTAACACCCCCATAGGGGTTAAATGAATCACCAAGGGGGATCAAATATATTTGGTAATCAAATATATTAACATTTTATAGCAAAACATGAATATTCACCGTAAGTGGAATAAATAGAACTATGAAGGGAAGTTTCAGGTCAAGTTTTATCACCAAGTAATCATCAAAATTATTGGATTTCTTTCCAATGGAGAACAAGGGTAAGGCCGTTGAGGACAGACCTATGTACATAGACCTGTGAATGGAAAGATGTCATGATGCATGGCTAAATGCAAAAGTAACTTCTGGAACAGCCCATGGACTTTGATCTCATGACTGTAAGGACAAACCAATATGTGTGGAGACACATATGCAGAAAAGGGAGAAAGGACAGAGAACCAGGTGACTCCTGGTGGTTACGAGTGGGGGTGGGGGAGCGGCTCAGATGCACATTTGCAGTCTTTGACTTACTCTAATCAGCTGGTGTCACTTTCATAATGCAAATACTAATATTTTTTAAAGAAAGGGAGAAGTGAAGGAAAACCAAATTAAAGCCATACTGGAGGGTTTCAGGGTCCTCTCCGTGTGGTGGCTCTGCATGGAAGCCTACAGGTGCGCGGGCAGAAATGACCGAGACCCTCCCGTGCCTCACTGTCAACAACGGGACTGTGGATTTGTTTGTTAGTATTAGAAATGGGCCTGGGAGGGGCACCTGGATGGCTCAGTTGGTTGAGCATCTGACTCTGGCTCAGGTCATGATCTCGCAGTTCGTGAGTTCGAGCCCCGTGTCAGGTTCTACACTGACAGCTTGGAGCCTGGAGCCTGCTTCTGATTCTGTGTCTCCCTCTCTCTGCCCCTTCCCTGCTTGTGCTCTTTCTCTCTGTCTCTGTCTCTGTCTCTCTCTCTTTAAAAAATAAATAAAACAGGGGCGCCTGGGTGGCGCAGTCGGTTAAGCGTCCGACTTCAGCCAGGTCACGATCTTGCGGTCCGTGAGTTCGAGCCCCGCGTCAGGCTCTGGGCTGATGGCTCAGAGCCTGGAGCCTGTTTCCGATTCTGTGTCTCCCTCTCTCTCTGCCCCTCGCCCGTTCATGCTCTGTCTCTCTCTGTCCCAAAAATAAATAAACGTTGAAAAAAAAAAAAATTTAAAAAAAAATAAATAAATAAAACATTAAAAAAAAAAAAAAAAAAAAAAAAAAAGAAACGGGGCCTGGGCAGGTGCGGGGGATGGACCGGCCCTGGCTGCAGAAGGTGGGGTTTGAGCCACACCGAGGCGGGATAACACAGCTATGAGCAAACACATACGAGAAACCACCCAACGTGTGTGCCAGCCGCTGTAGCATTTTGCTTTTCTTAATCCCTGCCTCCTCCCAGCCGCTCTCTGGGATGGGTATTTCGCTGCCACCCTCCCCACTTTACAGACGAGGAAAATGAGGCCCAGGGACACTAAGTGCCTCGCCCAAGATCAGACAACTAATCACAGCCCAGCTGAGACCCAAAGCAAGTCAGTGTAGCTCAGAGTCTGTGCCCACCGCTAGGCCATGCTGCCTCCCTGCGGGTAGGACGTGGCACAGACGCCAAGTCCAGCCCCAGAGGCTGCAGCAGCTGCATGTTCTAAGGAAGCCCCCTGGGTGGGCACATGCTGCGTCCGGCCTTAAGGGGTTCCCAGCAAGGGCCTGGCTAGATGACTTAAGCTTCACCCACAAGCACCCGAAGGGAATTGGACATCCTCACGGAGTACCCGGCTGCCGCATCCCACCCAGGAGCTCTGGACACAGCGTCTGGCAGAAGCCTGCCCACACATCAGGGCTGGCAGCTAAGCCTGAGATTGGGGATTTGCACGTGAACCCACTGGTGCTCTCTCTGTCCACTGCGTCCGATGCTATCAGGCGCGCGTCTCGAGTGAGCCTCATGGCACCTGCTCTGGCGGATGTCTGTGCACCTCCTGGGGGTTCCCTCCAGGCCCTCCCAACGTCAGTTTTCTGTACGCAAGCCACTTGGGTGTTTAAGTCCCAGCATCCCGAACACAGCTTTCAGGTGTGCAAATCCAACCATTTTCACATGATGTGATGACAAACAGAGAAATGTGATTGCGTTTATGTCTGGCGTTCAGGGGTCTCAGGGTTGGCTCTGGTATGTACCAAGTTCCCCGGGAGGCCAGTACTAACTGTCAGAATGCTACTCTGTCCCTCTCACCCCCTTCCTTTCCTGCTTCTCTTCACCCCCTTTACCCCACATCTCCTGTCTCCTTCCTTCTCGGTCCTTCTTACTTCCTTCTCAGGCTTCTTAAACACTTACATATGGGTGCGCCCAGCCTCTCTGTGTCCCATCTGCTGCCATTACTCAATGGAAGGTGGTCTCAAATACCCAGCCACCTCCCCACTGGATTCCTCAGGCCCCCACTGACCATAGCAAACAGCAGAACGAGAGTGTCCTCTGGGCATGAAAACCCTCTCTCCACCCTCTCTCCTCGCCATGGCCACTCAACTTCCTGGGTGAGGGAGTCCAGACTGACCCTTTTCATTTATTTACCGTGAGCTTTTACTCTCTGGGTCAGTGCCTCCAAACTTTTAATCCATAAACGTTTGCATCATGTCCTCATTAGATTTGTTTACTTAAAAGTAATATGCATATGTCACCAAAAATTCACATTGTAAGACTGGCAGAGGGGCGCCTGGATGGCTCAGTCGGTTGAGCAACCAACTCTAGCTTTCGGCTCAGGTTGTGATCCCAGGGTCGTGGGATCGAGCCCTGCATCAGACTCCACACTGAGCGTGGAGCCTGGTTGAGATTCTCACTATCTCTCTCTCTCTCTCTCTCTCTCTCTCTCTCTCTCTCTCTAAACAAACAAACAAGAAAAAAAAACTTGCACATCACTGAGACATTTTTTGTGTGTATGTGTATATATACCTACACATTCAAATGGTATTAACTGTCTCCATGTTATTAATTAAATTCTCAAAACTTATTCATCTTACAGCTGAAACTTTATACCTTTGACCAAACTCTCCCTATTCCTCCCAACCCCAGACCCTGGCAACCACTTTCTATTCTCTGCTTCTGTGCGCTTTTTTTTTTAATGTAGATTCCACATAGAAGTGATACATTCTGTATTTGTCTTTCTCAATCTGGCTTATTTCATTTAGCATGTGATATCCTCAGATCCATCCATGTTGTCAAAAAAACGCCAGGATGTCCTCCCTTCTCATGGCTGAATGGTACTCCATTGTTTATACACACCACATCTTCCTTATCCTTGCAGCCATTGGTGGACCTTACATTGTCCTAAATTTGTCTAAGTTTGTCTACTGTGAATAATGCTGCCCAAACTAGACATTTTCAAAGTATCAGATAAAAATAGTATTCTGTGTAGAAGTTCTAATATGTTCTTGTACCCACCATACAGCCCACAGCTTTAAGTAGACAAGGAAATAGCCCAGCCGTCTGCAGCTCTTGCTAACTGGGGTTTCTGTTTCTCTATCTCCAGGACATGTTCACATCACAGACTTCAACATAGCGACGATCGTGAAAGGAGCAGAAAAGGCTTCCTCTATGGCTGGGACCAAGCCCTACATGGGTGAGTGTTCCAGGCCCCTTTGGGGTGTTGTAGGCCCAGTGCCTGAGGCATCAGCGTTCCTGTGCTTCACCCCCACCCCCACGCCTACCTGCCACCCCCACACCAGGCCCCATCCGCTCCCGGTAGGTGCCAGGCGCTCTCACACTTTTGTCTTTGCTGTCTTCCCTGCCAGGAAGACCTTCTCCTCCTGTGATTTCTAGAGGACTCCTACCCAGATAGAAAACCTTGCTTCAGGGAAAAAAAAAAAAAAAAAAGCAGACAAAACCATTTTTTTCTTTTTTATTAATGTCCAGTGGTGTTGCCAAAATATAACTTTGGTATTGGTCATGTGGGGTCTATATTCTTAGGTACACAGTGTTTTTCCAATGTGTTTTTTCAAGTTGGTTTTTCTTTAAGACCTTTGATGGAAGTATCATTTTTAGTAAGCATGCTATCTCCTTACTTTGTTTTCTCCAGGGACACCTACTGTCTGAATGTGGGGCCTTTACAAATCTCCAATATTTTGTGATTTTCAAATATTTTGTATCTCTTCCTTTATTTGTTTAAAACTTTCCTCATTTTTCTCTTTCTCCTTCTTTTAAAGATTATCTGTTGTGTTTATTTGCTTTGTGTGCTTTCTAGAAAAATATTTATTACAGAAGTAATTTTCCCTTTATTTATATTTTTTTCCTGAATTTTCTTGCCTGACTTCTGAGTTTTTTAAATTCCAATTTATGTTGTTCTTTCTTGTCTTGCATAGTTTTCTTAATGTCTATATTAATTATTAATTCTTAATGTTTATATGAGTTATTGATGACTGTGTAGCAACGCAAGTCAAAACTTAGTGGCTTATATCATGTTCACGGATTGGAACAATTACGACTGTTCAAATGTCCATACCACCCAAAGCAATCCACAGATTCAGTGCAATCCCTATCAAAATACCAATAGCGTTTTTAATAGAACTAGAAGAAATAATTCTAAAATTTGCATGGAACTACAAAAGGCCCCTGAATAGTCAAAGCATTCGTGAAAAAGAAGAAGAAAGCTGGCAATATCACAGTCCCAGATTTCAAGCTATACTGCAAACTGCAAACTGCAGTAACCAAAACAGTATGGTACTGGCACAAAAACAGACACAGAGGTCGATGGGATGGAATAGAGAGCCCAGAACTAAACTCACACATACACGGTTAATTAATCTATGACAAAGGAGGCAAGAATACACAATAGGAAGGTGACAGTCTCTTTAACAAATGGTGCTGGGAAGACTGGACAGCTACGTGCAAAGGAATGAAACCGGACCCCTTTCTTACATCATTCACAAAAATAAACGCAAAGTGGGTGAAAGACCCAAATGTGAGACCTGAAACCATAAAACCCCTAGATGAGAGCACAGAGAAACACTGGCCATAACAACATTTTTTTGGATAGGTCTTTTCAGGCAATTAAACTATTGGAATTACATCAAAATAAAAAGCTTCTGCACAGTGAAGGAAACAATGAGCAAGATGAAAAGACAACCTACAAAATGGGAGAAGACATTTGCTAATGACATATCTAATGAAGGGTTTGTATCCAAGAACTTCTATTGTTGTATAATGATAATAATTCCATTAAAAATGGGCAGAAGGCATGAATAGACATTTTTTTCCAGAGGAGACATCCAGATGGCCGACAGGCACATGGAAACATGCTCATCATCACTCATCATCAGGGAAGTGCAAGTCAAAACCACAATGTGATGTTACTTCACACCTGTCAGAATGGCTAGTAACAAAAAGACAAGAAATAACAAGTGTTGGTGAGGATGTGGAGAAGGAGTCCTTGTGCACTGCTGGTGGGAATGCGGACGGGTGCAGCTGCTGTGGAAAACAGTATGGAATCTCCTCAAAAAAAATTAAAACTAGAACTATATGATCCAGTAATTCCAGTACTGGATATTTATCCAAAGAAAACAAAAACACTAATTCAAAAACATATAGGTTCCCTTCCTGGATTGCGACATTATTTACAATAGCCAAGATACAGAGGCAACCTAAGCGTCCATTGATGGATGAATGGATAAAGAAGATGTGGTGTATATACACAATGGAGTATTACTCAGTCATAAAGAAGAATGAGATCTCACCATTTGCAACCACATGGATGAGCCTAGAGGGTATTATGCTAAGTGAAATAACTCATAGAAAGACAAATACCATATGGTCTCATTCATATGTAGAATCTAAAACACAAAACAAATAAACAAGCAAACAAACAAAAGGCAGAAACAGACCCATCATTCAGAGAACAAGCTGATGGTTACCAGAGGGGGAGGTAGATGGAGGGAGGGGGAAATGGGGGAAGGGGAGGGGGAGGTACACACTTCTCCTTAGGGAAGAAATGAGTCACGTGATGAAAGGCACAGCATAGGGAACATAGTCGATGGCACTTGCGTAGCGTTGTATGATGACAGGTGGTAGCTATACCTGTGGTGAGCACAGCATAACGTGTATAGCATTGTGGAATCACCTGAAACTAATGGAACACTGGGTGTCAACTGTACTTCAATGAAAAACAAAGAAAGGAAGTTTGGAGATGACAAAAAAATAAGTTTGGAGAATGATAAATGAACATTGTTTTAAAAAACACTTAGTGGCTTAGAGGAGTGACATCGTGCTGTGTCTCACAACCCACCATTTGCCTGAATGGTTCCTCTGCTGGCTTAGGCTGGGCTCACTCATCCACTGGGGGGGTCCACTGGGGGCGGAGCTCAGCTAGGACAGCTGAGTTCAATGAGTCTTTCTCTATGTGGCCTTGCATCACTGGGGGGACAGAGTGAGCTTGCTCACGTGGTGGCAGTGGTTTCCAGAAGGAGAACCCACTTCCCACATGCTTTCAAGCTTCTGCTTGTTTCACATTTCCTGACATCCAATTGACCAAAGCAAGTCACATGACCACGACCAGAGACCATGTGGGAGGGGACTGCAGGGGGCATGGATACCAGAAGGGCTGACTCATTGGGTAACCATTAATGAAACAACCAATCACATCTTTTAATGCTTCTGAAATAGTAGGTCACGGTTTTCCTCTGTTTTGAGATGGAGGGTCGTGCATCTTTCTGATCCATCGTCATTGTTAAGTGAGTTATTCTGCTCTTTATTTTCTTTCCTCTTAGGATAACTTTGCATGGAATTTGACTTCAATACCTTTCTGTTTCTTTATTTTAATGTGAAATTAGTTTTCCTAAACTTTTGGATGATGATGTGGTTCAGGTGAGCTTTTCTTTTCTTTCTTTCTTTAATTAGATGGTTTATTTATTGGGGCACCTGGGTGGCTCAGTCGGTTAAGCATCCGACTTCAGGTCAGGTCATGCAAGATCTCACAGTTCATAGGTTCGAGCCCCATGTCGGGCTCTGTGCTGACAGCTCGGAGCCTGGAGTCTGCTTCGGATTCTGTGTCTCCCTCTCTCTCTGCGCCCCCATCCTCTGTCTCTCTATGTCTCTCAGAAATAAATAAAAACATTTGAATTTTTTTTTAATTTATTTTAAGAAAGACAGCACAAGCAGGACAGGGGCAGAGAGAGAGGAGAAAGAGAATCTTAAGCAGATTCCATGCTCAGCACAGAGCCTGATGCAGGCCTTGATCCCATGACTCTGAGATCACGACCTGAGCCAATATCAAGAGTCAGACACTCAACCGACTGAGCCTCCCAGGTGCCCCCAGGGTAGCTCTTCTAATCGAACATCTTCTGTTGTTTTCAAGAGTGTCCAAATCCACTGGGACTTGCTATCTGGGACTTCCTGATCTGTTCTCCTTCCCCACTTTGATCTGGAACATCTCTTTCTTTAGTCCATGGGGGCCCCTGTCCCACTGAGCTTTTGATTCCACTTTCAACAGTTTCTCCTTGGGGCTCCTTCTAGAAGGGAGCTCCAGCTGGACGACAGACATTTGGGGTCCCAGACTGACCTGCCCCCACAGAGCACTGGACTGGATAGGCTCTTCCATACTGTAGCCACTGTTCTCAAACTGGCCAGCTAGGCCTTCCAGGAAATTCTTGCAGGCTGTGTTGGCACTCTCTGTTCTCTAACCCATCGTATCCAGTCCTGTGTCTTCTCTGTTTCCCTCTGTTCAGAAATCACTACCACGGGAGTCTTGTCACTATTGCTGGTTTGTTTTCACGTACTTACACTTAGGGACTTGTGGGGAGACAACTTAGTTTTGTAGGAAGTGTCACGCATGGGTTTTGGCTTAGCTGTTTATCTGCTCTGTCAGTTCACATGCGTCGATGTGTAGAGATTCAAAACTATGTCATCACCTCTGAGAATTCACTACGTGTGTCGTTCATCTTTTATTTATTAAATAAGTGAAATTTGGCCACAAATAATGGTAAAAATAGTCCTTCTTAGTATTTGCTACGTGCCCAGCCATTGAGCTAAGTGCTTTCCATCCACAGTCTTATTTAATGTCACAAACAGGCACAATTATTCATTCCCATTTTAGAGCTGAGGAAAGATGTCAGTGATGAGGGTCAGACCCACGTCAGTGTGAACACCAGAAGGCATGCATTCAAGGGAGCCTGTTCACTTCAGATAGTCCCCTTGGGACGCTGAATCTTCACACCGATACGGCTTTCACTGTTGAAGGTCTTTCTGATATCCCTTTACAGAAGGTTCCAGAGCTGAGGCTAGTCTGTCCAAGGAGGCCACTGACTTAACAAATGGGTGGGAGAACAGGAGTGGGAGGGATGTTAGGGCTGCCTCCCAGGCTTCCGTCTTGCACAGCGATGTAGACTATAGTGATGTCCTCTGTGTGGGAAGCACAACGGGGCCCACAGGTGTGTGGGGTTCCAGGAAATTGAGTTTGAAATTGAGGTGTCTGGGAAATGCTGTCCAGGCTCCTGGAGTGATGTGGACAGGATTGCGGACTGGGGAGTTACCAGCACTGAGATTCGGCAGAGCCGAGGCAGTGACAGGGTCCCCCAGGGAGGACACAGAAGAGAGGAAGAGTGCCAAGCCTGAGGCCCAGGGGACACCATG